AATATAAAATACGAAGAATTTACATACAACATTAAAATAGAGAGAAAAAATGTATGACCCCGACGTGATTCGAACACGCAACCTTCTGATCTGGAGTCAGACGCGCTACCGTTGCGCCACGGAGTCTTCTACTAAGGAACATACGATACAAATATTATTTGTCGCATTATTATTGTGTAATCTGTTTCTTTGCGTTTTATCACACTAGAAGTTAGTATATCAAGTACAAATTCATGTTCCTTACTTGTGATTGCGTGTGTAAATAATTATTTTATAAGATTTGCTCCCACCTTGCGTTGCTTTTTCCTTCATTGTGTTCTTTTGTTTGTAAGTGCCGCCACCTAGGGAGTAGGAATCATTCACGTTGTTTTGATCGAGATCTTTCATGTTTTCTTTGTAATTGTTAATTTATCTCGACTGTTCTGTAACCTTTCGCAATGGAGACTCTCCTAGAACAACAGAGAAGATATCACGAGGAAAGAGAGCGACTGACTGACGCAATGGTGAAGGAAACTCTTGTGAAGAAAGCCACAGTAAGTCGACCGGCCGGGCATCACACACACACTGTGACACACTCACACTCACACTCACAGGCACTTGCCTTGGATCGTTTCAATAAAATATAATCATAATAATCATAAATGGCTATAATGCTAAATAAATACGAAATCTATTTACTACCAAAGTCTTAATGTTTCTCTACTCTCTTTCACCTATTATTGCCGACAATTTCCTGTAAATGCCGTTCAAATGCTTATCTACAACAAACACCTTTACACTGGCTGCCGCTACACACTGACACATAAATATATATCACTATCACTATCACTATCAGTATCAGAAGTAGATAATAGGGAAGGAGTGTGACTTCAATAAACAAGAGAAATTCGTCATTTACTAGCCTTAGAATACCTACGATTTACTACGCGTAACTCAACCAACTTGAGCTCAAATCGTACACAGTATATTCGTTTAGTATTGTGCGAAATCCTTTCCTCGTATACACCCACAATCCGGAGATACAGACTAAAACGTACAACACGATTTTCCATTATGTTGCCAGCAAACTGAATGTGTAAACCGCCTAACTCGGAGCAAAAGGCTGCCTTTTTTAAAATCGTGTTGTACGTTTTAGTCTGTATCTCCGGATTGCGGGTGTATACGAGGAAACGATTTCGCACAATGCTAGGCGAATGTACTGTACGCTTTGAGCTCAAGTTGGTTGAGATATGCGTAGTAAATCGTAGATATTCTAAGGCTAGTAAATGACGAATTTTCCCTTGTTTATTGAAGTCACACTCCTTCCCTATTATCTACTCCTGATATATATGTATATATATCAGGAGTAGATAATAGGGAAGGAGTGTGACTATATATAAGCATAGGTTACAGCCATGAATAGATTATCGATCGGTATCACATACAGTGCTATCAGGAGTGAATAATAGATCTCTATTATTCACTCTTGATACTATATCTTAGTTGTAAGGCCATCCTTAAAAAATTATATGTTTGGAAATTGCTGTCCTTCGACCAACCCACGAAAATAGCCGCGACCCAAGTTTTTTTTGACATTTTGAGTTCCATATATTATTATTTTTTAACATTTTCCATAGTTAAGACTGAAACACAAAGCATGTGTGGCAAACATGAGGACAGACTTAAAATAACTATTATGCCTCACACAAAAAAATGACCTACCTACTACTAACAAAATCATGGGTCAGGGGACAGCAAACATAGAATTTTTTAAGGATGGCCTAATATCACACAATTGTTTCACGCGACAACCAACTTTCAATGTGAGCAGCAATACACTGTCTGTTGTTGTGTGTGTCTCAAATTAACTAATTACTGCATTTTTTCAGGGTCGAGAAACGATCAATTCCGATCACAGGCAGAAGACACTTTTAGATGTAAGTGAGACATTTAAGAACAAAACTCGAGTTAGCTACTTCATTTGACAGAGCTGCTAGCCAAGATTAAGGTGTACTTTATTTGTAATGAGAAGTGTTGCTTATTTAATTCATATCGATGGGTCATATTTTTACTGTTACTGCCGTGTCTACGAAAATCCGAAGATGTTATACACATGAAGTTAGTGTCAATATCCTGCAATGAGCGTAACATCAACGGTGAAATGCTGAAACCATGTTGCAGTATTAGTCGAATTAATAAACTTTTCCGGTTTTATTTTGACGATTCTTTGCAGTATTATTGATCAGCTGTCCTACCTTGTTAATATAAAACAAACCGCACGATGCCCCTACGCTGAGATAATGAGCGGTGAAAATCTGGTATTTTCGCCGAAAACCGTTTACTGCGACTGTCTCTCGCTTTGTGGCCATTGTATTTGTGGCCATCATTCCATGATCACAACTATCATGCATAAGCTCGTTACGTGACTATTTTCAGAGGTACATGGATGACACAACAGCACTTTTGGAACTATACGAAGATAAAGATGGGTGAGGCAAGATTCTACGGCGTCATCTTACTCTCAATCAATTCAATTTCATTTTATTTCGTTTCCCACCATAAAGTACCAACTCAGCATCTCAATATCTATATAGTTACAGGGTTCTCCAAGCTTTTTCATTATAGCATGGTGAGTGCTGCCTTTACGGTCCTAGTTGCAAATCGCCGAAGG